CGTGCATGGTAGACTTGGTTCTTCACCAAATAGATAGCTGACATACTATCACAATGTACCTGAATGGTCTCCTGTGCAATCCCCAAATCATCCAACAAGTAATGTAGCCACAAAGCCTCCTTCACTGCTTCAGTCACCACCATATATTCCGTAGCCAATGTAAAAAGCCACTGTAGACTGAAGAGTGCATCGCCAACACACCGGTGCACTAGCCAATGTAAAAACATAACCTGTAGTGCACCGACGCTTGTCAAGATCTCCGGCATAGTCTGAATCCACGTAGCCAACACAATCCTGCCCTGTCTCATCATTCTTCACAAATATCAACCCAACATCCACAGTACCCTTAATATACCGTAGAATCCACTTCACGGCCTCCCAATGCTCCTTCCCGGGGTTATGCATGTACCTAGATACCATGCTCACGGCCTATGACAAATCTGGCCTAGTACACACCATAGCATACATCAAGCTGCCCACTGTACTGGCATACAAAACTTTGGACATGTAGTCCCTATCCTCCACTAAAACTGGTGACATCAAAGCTGAAAGCTTAAAGTGGGGAGCTAATGGAGTACCCACCACCTTGGTATTACCCTCAAAACTAAATTTCTTCAGCATCTTCTGCAAGTAACTCCTCTGTGTAAGCTTCAATCTCCCCTTCACCCTGTCTCGCTCAATCTCCATACCCAGTATCTTCTTAGCCTCTCCCAGGTTCTTCATCTCAAATTCGGATGACAGCTCCTTTTTCAATTTCCCAATAGCTGAAGTGTTCCTGGAAGCTATGAGCATATCATCAACATACAATAACAAATAAATGTGCTCACCATCCTGTAGCTTGCGCATATAAACACACGGGTCATAAGGGCTCCTCGTGTATCCTCGGCCAACCATAAAGCTATCAAATCTCTTGTACCATTGTCGCGGTGATTGCTTCAGTCCATAAAGAGATTTCTTCAAGTTGCATACCAAATCTTCTCTTCCTGCAGCTTTAAACCCCATAGGTTGTGTCATGTAGATCTCCTCATCTAAGTCTCCATGTAGAAAGGCCGTCTTCACGTCCATTTGGACCAAATCTAAGTCCAGCTGTGCCACCAAAGCCAAAAGTATCCGAATAGACGAATGCTTCACAACGGGTGAAAACACCTTGTTGTAATCAACGCCCTCAAGCTGTGCATATCCCTTGGCAACCAATCTGGCCTTGAACCGAATGTCCCCAATAGAAGATCCCTCCTTCTTAGCATACACCCACTTGCAACCAATAGCTTTCTTACTCTTCGGTAGCTTTACAAGTTCCCAAGTGTCGTTCTTCTGAAGAGATTGCATCTCCTCCTCCATAGCATTCCTCCACCTAATGGAATCAGGGCTGGACTCTGCCTCCCTGAATGTGGTAGGAATAAGATCATCAACGACCTCCACCGATAAAGCATATGCCACCATGACATCATCATATCTAGCTGGCCGACGAATCTCTCTCCTTGGTCTATCTGCTGCAATGGACCCCTGAGCATGACCCTGCTCCTGAGCCTCACCATCCATTGTATCCTCTAAATGCCTGACTGTCATCTCAACTCCTTCCCGTGTCACTTCTGTAGGAGTCTCTATGGGAACAGTGCCAACTGGAGTGGGTGGAGTCACATCATCCTCCACCTGCTGCGATATCCCTCCTGTCTGATCTTCCTCCACCTGCTGAGGAACTCGAGGCTTCATCATGTATGCCTCATCGAATGTGACATCTCTGCTAATGATCATCTTCTTGTCTTGTGGATCCCATAATTTTAAGCCTTTTACACCTTCTCTAAATCCCACAAAGATAGCCTTCCTCGCTCTCGGATTTAACTTCCCATCACTAACATGGAAATAAGCTGGACACCCAAATATCCGAAGAGTATCATAATCACTAGCCACAGAACCAGACCAACGCTCCAAAGGAGTCTTCCCCTCTATCGCAGTGCATGATAACATGTTAACGAGATGGCTCGCATAAACCAACGCCTCGGCCCAAAAAGATCTAGATAATCCACTCTGCGTCATCATACATCGCACCTTCTCCAGCAAGGTACAGTTCAGCCTCTCTGCCACCCCATTCTGTTGCGGTGTCTCTCTAACTGTGAAGTGTCTTCTAATGCCGTGATCCCGGCAAAACTACAGAAATGGATCACTCTTGTACTCTCCACCATTGTCTGAACGAAGAGTCTTCACCTTTCTACCTGTCTGCAATTTCACTTTCTTCTTCCACTCCACAAATATATCCAGGACCTCATGTTTATGCTTCATGGTATATACCCAATTCCTCCTGGAATAATCATCAATGAAAGTGACAAAATAATTTGCCCCACCAAGCGATGTGTGCTTAGAAGGGCCCCAAACATCTGTGTGAATGTAGTCTAATATACCTTGGGTGTTGTGAATTGCGGTGCCAAACTTCACTTTAGTCTTCTTCCCAAGTATGCAATGCTCACACAGCTCCATCTTGCATGTCTTTGCACCTTTCAATAGCCCATGTTTTGCCAATGACTGAAGGGACTTTTCACCTGTATGTCCAAGCCTCATGTGTCATAATGTGGTAGTGTCCTCATCTGTGGTGATAGAAGCAGCCAGACCCCCTGTAACTGTCTTGCCCTTCAAGTAGTATACGTTGTTTTCCCTGACGCCTCGCATTACCACCATGGACCCCTTCATGACTTTCAAACTAGCATCCTCTAATATCACTCTATAGCCGGATGCCTCCAAAGTCCCAAGAGAAATGATGTTCTTCGTCAACTGCGGCACGAACCTCACTTCTTTCAATTCCCTAGTCACCCCGTCATGCATTCTAATTCTGACTGAGCCAATCCCACAAATAGGACAAACATGATCGTTCCCCATGAGCACCACGTCTCCTCTCTTCAACTCCTCAAAGTTGGTAAACCACTCCCTCTTAGGGAAAATATGAAATGTAGCTCCCGAATCAAGCATCCACTCCGTAGAGTCGGCATAACAAACTGACGGCAGTGCGGGACAAGAATAACCGGAAGAATCTGAATCTGAAATGTCGCCAACAACCTTAGCAACATTCACCTCTGAAGCTTGTACAGCTTTGCCCTTTTGCTTTCCGGCTCTATCCTTCAACTTTGGGCACTCATTCTTCCAATGTCCCTCTTCTTTGCAAAAGGCACATTGATTTTTACCAACACTTTTATGGCCACCTCTATTCTTTGATTTTGAGCGGTTGAACTTTTTGGCGGTTTGGACTACAGCCACGAACTGCAAGTGCATCACCCGATGCCTTCTCGGAGGGCTCACAATCATTCTTCCTCAGCTCATAATTCACCAATGCCGAGGTCACCTCCTTGTAGCTAACTGTAGTTCGCCCATTTATCATAGTGAGAACAAAGGTGCTAAACTCATCATCTGGCAATGAACACAACAATAACATCGCCTTGTCTTCATCCTCCACCATGATATCAACATTGGCCATATCCGAAATAAGCTTTGTAAAGTTATTGACATGCTCCCGAATGGAAACCCCTCTCTTCATCTTGAATTGGTAGAACATTTTCTTCAAATGAAGCCTATTCTCAATGCTCTTTGTCAAATATTTTTCATTGAGCGTTTCCCACAATCTCTTTGCCGATGTCTCGTTCATCACATCATAAATGAGATCCGACGTCAAGCATGCAAGCCCTATTATTCATTTTCTTCCAAACCCTATCATCAATCTCCTCGGGTTTCTCTTGAAACTCAAGAGTCTCCTCTAAATTTTGTGTATCTAAGGCGTCCATTACTTGACACCTCCATAAACCAAAGTTAATCTTGCCGTCAAACTTTGGGACATCAATTTTAGTGTTATTGATGCTCAAATTTTGGATCGCCTTTGTCAAAGCCGACCCCGATGTACTAGTAGCACTTGAACTAGCCCTGCTTGTTGTCAACCATATTGTAATCTACTCCTCAAACAAGAACCCAACATGAATCCTTCGAACAAAACTCCCAAATCAACCGGCCTCTGATACCACTTGTGTGCGCGCGCGGAACGCCCTCAATAGAACCGAATCAAAAGCACAACAAGGAAATAGTAGACCACAATTAACACAAGCACAATAAACGCAAGAGAAACACATAAAATAAAACATGTTCGGCAATGTGCCTACTCCACTGGGGCTAAGAGAGGGGAAGCTTACTATTCAAATCAAAGGAATACATAATTCGATACAAATCTTACTCAAACCTAGAACAGACATGATCTCCTCCAATAACTCAACATAGAAGGCCCTCAAAAATCCCTTCTCAGCCACTAAATCCCCCAAGCTTAACGCCTAGAAACAGTAAGGTTATATACAACTCACAAAACGAAACGGGTGCTGGAAACAGACCCAACTGAAACCCGCAGCGAGGTCGATTCCGGACCGGTCGACCGCGGATCCATTCGGTCGAGATAAGACCGCCGGTCCGAGCGCGCCTCACTCCAGAAAACACACCAAGGTCCAGAGAGTTCGGCGCGTGACCGCCCGGTCGACTGACCGCAGCCGCTGCGTCTGACTGCCGGTCTGATCGCCACCCAGTGCTGAAGCACAGTGACCCAATTATGACGAATGGGTGTGACCGGACCGGTCGACCGCGCCCCAGCGACACCATGTTTATTTGACGTTCCTAATCCCTTCTGGTCGCTGCTTGATTGCTGGCTGCTGATTCTACTAATATATATCATCATATATTATATTATATATATATATATATATATATATATATATATATATATATATAGCACGTTCAGGTACGCATAGTTGCGTACGCACTCATGCTCGCAGCTATGACTAAGAAGGGTTTTTTTTGAAAAAGGCCAACCCAAGAACTCTCTCGTCCCCTCACAAAGCCCCGTGACCCAAGACCCAATCCCCCAATCTCCATCCCCCCCCTCCAACCCTCTCTCTCTCTCTCTCATCTTTCTCTCTCTCTCTCCTCTCTCTCTCTCACTCATCTCTCTCTTCTCATTGTTCCTACGACACTCCTGGCTCCGACACAACCGTCGCTGACAATCTCGTTCGATCTCGTTGTCGCCTCCGAACGCCCAACCCCATGAATCACGTTCGATCTCAATCTCGTTGTCGCCTACGCCGACGACCGCCATGACACCGCTGAAAATTCCCCCCGATATTGCGTTGGAAACCGTAAACGAGGCTTGGTTGGAATCGGATCTGTGATAAGGGGGAGCTTGATGTCGTCGAGGTGTCGAAGTTGAAGGGCGCGGAGGCTCGTCGGTGGTTTGCGAGGCAGCTTATGTTGCCAGAGTGGATGATTGATGTTCCTCCTAACCTTGATTCTGATTGGTGAGTTTCTAAAACCCTTGTTCTTTCAAAAAAAAAAAAGATTTTTCACTCTGTTGATTCTTTAAAAATTGGTACTTTGGCTTTAAATTGGAGCAAATGAGCCCTTAACTGTGCACATTTAGTTTTTCGACAGTAAATCGTCAAAAAGCTCGAAAACACTTCATAAATTAAATTCAATTCGTTGAAAGTAAGGTTCATAACTAATAAGTGTTAGACCCTAATGTCACTATGAAAGAACCCTAGAGGGGAGTGAATAGTGTTTATGCTAATCTAATCCGATTTAAATGCCAATTTAAACTTATTAACAAATATATTCTTGCAAGATAGATATACAACTAATTATGAGCAAGAATATGCAATATGAACAAATGGCTATATCCTAGCAATAAGATATATTATGAGATATACGCAAGGATATACAAAACACTCAAGGGTAAACAAACCAACATGTAACAATGATGATATAACAATATGCAAGAATAAATGCGCCAATGCCAAACTCAAACACAAGGAAATGATCACGGAGTTCGGACCTTCCATCCTACTCCGCTCCCCACTCCCGGGGAGAATCTACTACACAACCCAGTTTGAAAGCCGGAACTTCTTTACACACTCGGTTTTCTAGCTAACAAAAAACTCTACACACTCGGTTATCAAGTCAACCGACAACTCTCACAAATCCTCACAATGTACATACACAAGCTACAACCTCAAGTGTTGGTCCTCACGTATCAACTCCCTCAAGTGCTCGGAATTATCACCTCTCACTAGGCCACCGACACCACTCCTCTCGGTATCGACTCCGTCCTCACCATACACTCCTCTCAGTGTACAAGTGTATTATAAAGTAAACTTTACAATTAGGCACACAATAAATGATTGTTCTCTAAACAAGGTGAGAACTCAATTAGGCTCAACTCAATGTTACTATCTCTCACAACCCCAATATATTATATATGCAAATACTATAAGCTCAAGTGGGTGTGTGTAACAATGAGTATAAATCAAAACAAATCTAAACTCAAATAAATTCTAGCTTATGGATATGAAAATCAAGCAATATAAAAAGCTAGATAAGAGTTTAGAAAAACTTCTCTATGATGACAAGAGAGAGAAGGAGAAGAGTTGAATGCTCAAACACCAAATGATGATCTCCTCTAGCTCTTGTGAAAATTTCTTCACAAACTTGAAACTTGAAACAAACTTGAAACCCTTAAATAAACTTGTAAAAACTCTTTGAAACTTTTCTCTTAAACATCCATAAGAAACAATAGAAGTTGAGGGCTTTTTATAGCCTCTTAAACCAGCAAAAAACACCCCCAAATCAAAACTAGCCGTTTCTAACCGTTACTAGCCGTTATAGGGTGAAAAGACCAAAATACCCCAAAATTCAGCATTCTGGAAATTTATGTATCTGGAAATGTAAAACCAATTAAAAATAGTAAATCAACTCTAAAAATTATGAAATTTTTAGTGAAATATCTACACATGTCCAAAGACATTCTAGAGAAAAAATTTATTAAATATCACTTCCCATTTGTGAGAAATAATTATTTGAACACAGATATACAGTTTTCGAAATCTGCTGACATACACAATTTTGTAAAATCAATTGGGCACAGTAAAACAAATTCAAAAATCATGAAATTTTTAGGGAAGTTTAAAAACATGTCAAAGAAATAATTTATGAAATACCACTTCCCAGTTGAAAGAAATAAATATTTGAACACAGATATTACAGTTCTGAAAACTGCTAAAAACTCTTGGTTTTCTAAAATCAATTTAACATAGTAAACCAACTCCAAAAATGATGAAACTTTGGAAAATGTTTATAAACATGATAATAAACATGTTAGAAAAAAAATTTCTCAAATTAAAATTTCCATTTGTGAAAACTCATGTATTTTGTAAGTATGTCCAAAACATGAAAATGTGATATACATGAAATTTGATGTTTTGACATGAACACTGTTTTGAAACCCTATGAAATGATTATATAGACTTGATAAAAATTATAAACAATTGTTTTTAAGTCTATAAACCAAAAACACAACATATTTACGAAAATCACAAATATATAAATGTGTGTGTATATTTGAGCTTATAGAATTAACACACATTATATAAACCCTAAAGTAATTTACCCAAGCTTGATAGATTTTCAATATACTTGACTTGGTTGCAGATGAAGCTTGATCTTGAATATGACTTCATGTGCAATGGCTTCATACCGATATTCCGCCAACCTCCATTTGATGTGATCGTATAGGCTCAATCCATCCAACCTCCAACTTGTTGTTTGCCTAGAATAAATACGAAAACACAAACACTAGATAATCAGCATTAGAAGTAAATTGTTTGTTAAACATCATCAAAACAAGAAGGCCAACAATAAGTTTAGACAAAGTTAAAGTTTTTGGGTGAGAGACTAACTGTGCAACCGAGAGTCTGCCAAACTTGTGATTTTTGTAATCCTCAGCGAAAACATGGAGTCCCTGCGACTTACTTTTGTGTGTGTTGGGTTTTGGGTAGTGTCACTAGCATTTTATTTCTTCCGATTTGTTTCCTTTCACCTGTTATCGCGACAAATCCCAATATTTTTGGTTGTTTGGTTCTAGTGTTTTAATGAACATTCCAAGAAATTGCTTTCAGTTATTGGGATATACTGATGGAACTTATCTCTTATCTCCTAACTTTATATTAGTATAAATGAAAACGGTTAGTTGTTTTTCTTTTAATCTCATCCCTTTTTGTTCAACCAATAAAGTTGTTTTTCTTTTAATCTCATCCCTTTTTGTTCAACAATAATCATAGAGAAACTGTTTGTAAATTAGAGGCTATGCATCCTTTTATGTGCTTCTCATTGTTGAGTTTTTATGTTGGGTTCTATTTGCATTTCACATATGAACATTAAAATGATATTATTTTGACGTTTCTTTGACAAGAGAGTCTAAATTTGTTACCTTTTATATGATAATCAGGTTGTGTTGGAGTTGCAAGATGACGGGAAATTGGCTACCTCAGATTATCCTCCTGTAGTGCTCGGTTGCAGCGATGCTAGAAATGGTGAGTAACTACCACTGTGTTTCATTTATGAAACAGTCCAGAAGTATAGAAGTAAATGTCACACGTTACAATATTCTTAATGGCAGAGAAAATGATGAAAACTTGTTCGAGTATATCTGTTCTCCCAAGACCGCCACTATCAATTTCACAGGTGTATCTAATACCCTTTATGCACTAATTTTGAACAATTCCCTGGTAACTCTAGGATTTCCTTCCTACTATTAAATCTATAATTTGCACTTTTCGGTATATTGGTAGATGTCAAATAAGGCACGGTGGTCAGTTATGCAATCGTACAATCTCCTCAAGTATCACAAGCGCGCGCACAGAGCTGCAGTTAAAGCTTTGGAGAGCAAACACAGCCTTGGCGTTGTCATCAGAAGGATAGAAGAAGCCATGTCCTCCCATAGCTGACAGCATAAATTTCAAGTTATTTCAAAAGGTTCTATACACAATTATTCTATAATTACTTGGTTTGCTACATTTATTTAAGGAATAAGCTCTAGCGTTTTCAATTTCTTAGGATGAAGGGAGTTGGAGCAATAGCTGCAAATTGTCTTGGTTCAGGCCTGATCCAAATAAGATGTAAACCCAAGTCAGTAAAATTGACAGTGATCGAATTGGGTTTATCAGGTCGTCCTTCATAATCCCCTAAGTTGCTCATCTTGACCTTCATAATCCAACCTTTGTCGTATGGACCAACATTCACCTGATTTGAGAACCAAACCAAATGCTTCATCACTATAATATAGAAAGGCTCAAATTGCCTGAGAATAAGATGGTAGAATTTATCAATCAGACCGTGGAACTTGCAGGCCTTGCTCCTTAGAAAGCGCAAAAAATCGCAAAAACCTTGCAGGTATTGTAAACATCTGTTACAATAACAAGGGGGGATAGCAAGGAATCAAACCAAACTCTCCATGTTCCATAACTAAAACTGCAACAACAGGAAAATTACAAGGACTGTACATTCCAAGAAATAAAAAGAAACCGGTTTACAATTTGAAAAGGAAAATGTGATGTCTGCACAAATATACCTAGTCCTTATTTTCCACAAATCAAATTTCTTGGTAATCAGATGATAATTGTAGAAAACGAAAACAGATACAATGAGTAAAACAAATACATTGCTCTTTTTCCCCCTTCAAAAGAATAGACCGTCTCATCTAATTAACCGATAAAAAGAACATAAAAGTAACATTTCAAAATTTGATACCATCACCCAGTAGCAGTATCCACCCCCCTGAGGCCATGCTAACTCATTGATTCGATTTAATCTGCTAACATTGACAGGAACGACCCACCGAACCTCAATTGAAATCCTTGAGCCTCTTCTTCAACATGTCCATCGACTTCTTCCAAGCATTCGTCTTTGCATTCCAATTCGAGAGACTCCCAAACAGTCTGTCCGGTGAATCCCTGAACTTCTCGCAGATGCTCGCGACCTTCTTGTAGTCTAGGGCGCCGTAGTTCTTCTGCCTTATCACGGGATTCATGAAATTCTCTGGCTGGTTGCTCGGCAGAAGGTTGATCAGCTGCCGCGACTCCCTCAGGCAATCCTTGAAGCCCCAATTCTTCTTCAGATCGCTCAGCCCCGTACTTCGAAAGCTCTCCTCAGCGAAAGCTTCCAGCTTCTTCAAGTCACTGTCCACGCCAGTGACCGCGCTGAGGGTGAACCTCTTCACGTCTTCACTCAGGAAAGCCGTGACGATGGAATCAGAGATGTGGTCAAGGGCGCCGGTGACGAGCTTATACAGAGCCTCCAGGGGGAAAATCTGCTGAGCAGAAGACAGCAGGGTGTCGAGGTTGTTCGTAGGCGATGTCGAGGTTGTTCGGCGGTGTCGTGGCGGCCGTCGAAGTAAGCGAGGGCAACTGAGAATTCGAGAGAGGGCCGCAAGATTCACAGGGGTTCGGCGGGGTGTCATCGGCGTGCCGTGACAGCGGATATGAAGAGAGAGAGAGATCGAGAGAGGGAGGAGGAAGGGTTAGAGGGGGGAGTGGAGATTGGGGATTTGGGTCACGGGGGCTTCGTGACGGAGAGAAAGAGTTATTAAAAAAAATGGTTGGCTTTTTTCAAAAAAAACCCTTCTTAGGCTCTGTTTGGCAAAACTAGCTGAAAGCTGCGAGATTATAGCTGAAAGCTGTCAAGCTAGCTGAAAGCTGTGAAATTGTAGCTGAAAGCTGATAGCTGTGTAGCTAGCTAATTGACTAGAGCTGTTTGGTAAAAGAAGCTGTACAACTAGCTTAAATTTGTTAAATGACTAAAAAAATCATGTAATATTATTGATATAAAATTAGAATTATTAAGAGCAAAAATGGAAGAAAAAAATTGACAGCTCCTTCCCAAAGACAAACGCTACTTGAGATAGCTTTCCAAAAGCTACTTGCAAAAGACACAATCTCCAAAATAATCTCCTCCTATTTTTCACATAGGGTATATAAATGTAATTTAGCATTTAAACTTCTAATGTTATTTTTACAATTTTTAAAATACTAGTTTTTATACACGTGCAATGCACGTGATTTAATACCATGATTAAGTATTTTTGACAGTTTGCTCACTTCTGTCTTTAAACTCTTACATCCCGATTATTTTTTTATGTTTGTTTAAATGGGATACACCCAATTTAAATTTTCATGTTGATATTTGAATTGACAAAAAACAAATATAATTTAAAAATAATTTGATTTTTCATATTATTTTTGACCGATATGAAACTAAGCTTTATTTGAGAAAGTAAAGCGTTACAAAGTAAAAAATATTAAATTAGTGTTATACAAGAAAGGTGAATATTTAAAACCAATATCGCAAAATGATTGATTTAAAGTATGTTAAAACGATGCAAAAGAGAATATGAAGTTTATTCCTAATCATTGATAGACTTCATAAAAAAATATAAATTAAAGATTAATGCTAACTCTAGTATACTTTTATATGATAAAAACATACACATAAGAATATAAAAGTACTAAAAAAAATTCATGAAATTCCCTTCTAAAGATTCCTAATTTCACTCAAAATAATTAAACTATTCTATAAAATATTCAAAAAATATTATCTTTTATTTCTTCAATTTTATTTTTTTATTGAGTTAAGATCAATCCTTCTTCAGGTTTATCATTTATCATTTCTCGGGCAATTCTAGAGTAGTGTCTTCATCATCTACATCAATTGTGACATCAGGCTAAATTTGTATTTTTTATACTGTTATCTTTCCTGGGCTCGTTAATTTTTTATCATCTCATTTAACTTCACAAAGAAATCAAATGTACTTATGATGTTCACACAAACTACTCAAAATATAGACTTTGATTTTTTCTATTTTAATGAGAATAAATATTAATTTCATATATATATAATTCTTTATGTTCCTAATTTATTACTTAAATAAATTAGAAGCTATCTCTTTATTTTTCTCTAAAATGAATTCTTCTGATGTGCATCCAATAAAAATTTCTGTTATTTTAATAATATTACCTTTGCTCTATCCATGTTATTTTCCATAAAGCTCTAAACTAAATACATGCATTATTCATTACCAATTTCTCTTAGATTATAATATTAATATTTAATTTGAAGAACACAATATGGAATTTATGAGTACTTACTAATTTTTTTTAAGTCTTCAGTAGAAATTTTTTCTTTGATTAGGATAAAGTTATTAAATTATTTTTTAATATAACTCATCCAGTGCTTCACTAATAGATATGTCTTATTTTAATGCCGATTCAAGTGATTCATTGACGTTTTCTGAATTTTAGATTTATTTCCATCACTTTCCCATTTACAATGGAAACAGCTCAATTCTTTTAAAGTTATCTCTAAATATTCTAATAGTTTCTCTATATGTAATTCCTGGTATTCTTTTACCCTATAAATATTATTAACGTCAACGATTAAATTTTTTAAATTAAAATTAATTAATGCTAAGGTATAATATTATAGTGTTTTATCATTTCTATGGATTTAAACATCTACCAATTAATGTTACGAATATATTTTGGCAACCCCAACTTATTACTAAAATTATATAAAATTACTTTAATTTATATAGTGTCGATAATTTTTAATTTATAATATTTTTTAAAAATTTATCCATTAACCGGATATTTTTAATCAATTCTTATTATTTTTTATTACCAGTATCAACTTAGACTATTCTTAGATGCTAAAAATGGATAGTAAATCCCTAAATTAGAAATTTTAAAAAAATTTACTTTTAAGTTTGGTAGTTGTAAATTCTATGTTTCATGTGTTGGTGGTAATTTTTTAAATGTTAGTATATTTCTTATAACTCTAAAGTTTTGAGGGTATCTTTTATAATTATTAAAACTATAGATTAAGTATGAAAATATTAAATTTCAGTGGTCTACCAATCGACGAATTTGATGTGTGCTAGTTAAAAATTTTGAAAATTTAGAGTTTTTTTACGATTTTTAAATTTTGAAGGAGTTTTTTTTATAATTTTTTTAAATTTTAAGGTTAAATTCGGCAAATTTTAATTTTTAGGTGTCCAAGGGTAATATCTTGAATTCATCTTATATTATTTACAAATTTTAAAATTTTAGAAATTTAGGATGAAGTTTTATAATTTGAACTTTTGAAGGTGTTTTTATCATTTTTGAGATATTGATGGTGTTAATTAAAAAATTTAAATTCTTCAGAAGCTGCTATTAATTTTTTAAATTTTTTATTTTAAGTTTTATAATGTTAAAAATTTTAGGTGTATCATGGTAATCTCTTGAATTCATCTGTGTTGTTTGTAAGTTTTAAAACTTTAGAATTTTAATGTGCTTGTTTGTAATTTAAACTTTTGAGGGTGTTTCTATAATTTTTAAGACATTAAGGTGTTAACTGTAAATTTTAAATTCTTTGCAAACTGATGTTAATTTTTTAATTTCATGTTTTTTCTTTTAAGTTTGAAACATCGGGATGATTTTTATAATTTAAACTTTTCAGGTTCTTTTCTACAATTTTAAAACTTTTTATGGTCTTTTTGCAATACTTCATGTATTATAATATGTTATCTACGTGTAATTTCTTTATCTTAACAAACTAATAACATTTTTATGTTTTATATGTTTTTTAATATTAGTTTTTTTTAAATTATTAAGCTAAACATGGTTCACATAGGATTAGGATAAGATATGATTATGATTAGGATAGATTAAGATATAAATAAAATATTCAAAATAGTGAAGGGTAATATTGACCATTAAAAATTAGAATTTGATTATAGATAAGGTAGTTCAAACTATAAAGGGGTATATTTGTCTAAAAAAGATTTTCTGAACTCGTATTTTTAAAGGGAGTATGATAATGTGCTTGTTTGTAATTTAAACTTTTGAGGGTGTTTCTATAATTTTTGAGAGAGTGCTGCTACGGGGATCCAAAATATAGGACTAATGGATGAGACATGTGAGGTGTCACTTCCCTATTGCATAATGAGTTGGCATGACCAACTCATTATGCAATAGGGAGGGGACACCTCACCTGTCCCCTCCATTGGTCCCATATTTTGGGTCCTTAAATCATTTTTCTTTTTGAGATATTAAGGTGTTAACTGCAAAATTTAAATTCTCTGCAAACTGATTTAATTTTTTAATTTCATGTTTTTTCTTTTAAGTTTGAGTCATCGGGATAATTTTTATAAGTTTGAACTTTTCAGGTTCTTTTCTGTAATTTTAAAACTTTTTATGGTTTTTTTGTAATACTTCATGTATTATAATATGTTATCTACGTGCAATTTCTTTATCTTAACAAACTAATAACATTTTTATGTTTTATATATTTTATTGATATTCATTTTTTTAAATTGTTAAGCTAAACATGGTTCACATAGGATTAGAGATAAGATATGATTATGATTAGGATAGATTAAGATATAAATAAAATATTCAAAATAGTGAATGGTAATATTGACCATTGAAAATTAGAATTTGATTATAGATAAGGTAGTTCAAACTATAAAGAGGTATATTGGTCTAAAAAAGATTTTCCGAACTCGTGCTTTTAAAAGGAGTATGATTAAAACTTTTTATGGTTTTTTGCAATACTTCATGTATTATAATATGTTATCTACGTGTAATTTCTTTATTTTAACAAACTAATAACATTTTTATGTTTTATATGTTTTATTAATATTAGTTTTTTTTAAATTATTAAGCTAAACATGGTTCACATAGGATTAGGATAAGATATTATTATGATTAGGATAGATTAAGATATAAATAAAATATTCAAAATAGTGAAGGGTGATATTGACCATTGAAAATTAGAATTTGATTATAGATAAGGTAGTTCAAACTATAAAGGGGTATATTTGTCTAAAAAAGATTTCCCGAACTCGTGCTTTTAAAAGGTTATTATATTATTATTATCTAAATGTAATTTCTTTATCATAACAAACTAATAACATTTTTATGTTTTATATATTTTATTAATATTAGTTTTTTTAAATTGTTAAGCTATTAATGGTTTAGAACCGTAACGTTCATTATAAAAGATTTAGAAGTCTAATTCTTCACATTCGACATGTTCCCGTCTACTACTAATTTATGATTTAAATTGAGCTTAAGTTTTTAACTATGTTTATGCGTGTGACTCCATGTTATATGTTTTCCTTATAGGGATTCTCAGAAGCTCCAGACTATCCTGGTATAATAAGTTTCGAGAACTTGTGCAGATATGGAAAAAGAAAAGAAACCGGATGAATAAGTGTCAATTAATAAAGCTCAGTCTAGCCCATGCCTCATCTTCTTTTATGAAATGAAGAAGCAAAGATATCAAACCTTCTTCAATCTTTCTAAAGGATGTTATATTCGGAATATTGAACAGATGCAAAATGGCATGTGTTTTCCAACTCCTCAGGGATGGATGCTAATTGTTCACCCACACGGTAAACAGTACTGTTGCTTATTCGACCCTCTCACTATGTCGAAGAAAAACCTACCTTCCCTGCAACAGGAAGCTAGTCCTGTCACCAACCTTACATGCACCTTATCCTCTTCTCCAACAGATGAAAATTGCACGGTATTATGCGCTGACATGGGGAAAAGATTACTCTTCTTCTGTCAAGATGGAGATAGAAAATGGACTCTTTACAAGTACAACCTCGGAGATAACTATCTTTCAAATGTTGCAACTTATGATGGAAAGTTCTATGGTCTTACGTTGCAAGATAACTTTGCAACAATTGATTGCTCCCCAAACCCTCGAATAAATATATTGGAACCATTGAATATTCATTGGCCCGTTGGGGCGTCTACAAGAATATCATACCTGGTTGAATCTTTCGGCGAGATGTATTCAGTTGATTGCTTTAAAAGGGCTCACAAATCAAATAAAACCACGCATATTTCGGTCAAGAAGAGAGACTCGTCGAGACAAGCATGGGATACAGTTTACAGTATTGGCGGGAGGGTGATCCTATTAGGAAGTGATGATTCTTCAGCGTCGTGGTCTGCGAGTGAACTTGGCGTCAAGGGAGATTGCATATATTATGTAGAAACTGATGATAAGCGTGTGTATTGTTTCGACCTGGAGGAAGGATGCACTTCAGTTTATATGCCTTGCTCTCGTCTTCAGCCTTCGGGACTTACACCCATCTGGATATTGCCTGCATCATAAGTGATGCCGTCGCTAGCTTCGTGTCATTATAGGTTCCATTTTGTATTGCTCACATTAATTATGACCTTATAAAGTGCTATTTCGCATTGATTTGATAAATGTATGTTCATGGTATTATTTCGTAATCCATTCTAAGTATAAACTCTTAATTAATTAGTATCAGTCTCTCTTTTTATCCCAGCAGAGTGTTTTCCCTAATGGCCATGTGGATTCTGTTGGATAGCAGATTCCTAATCTATTTTGGTAACATGAGGCTATTAGGATTCCTAATCTATTTTGGTAACACGAGGTTATTAGGATTCCTAATCTATTTTGGTAATAGGTTATTAGGATTCCTAATTTGTTTTGGCTTTTGGTTTAGAATTCCTAGTATGTTTATGATTTTAGGATTTCTATATATATAGAACAATTGGAAGAGAGAATTGAGAAAAAAAATTAGGGATATTTGGAGCACAAAAAAGATGTATTTTCTGAGCTATTTGTTTAGGGTTTTGTTTGGAGAGATTAAGAGCTTGTTGGTAAGATTAGTTTATTCCTTCGAGAGATTTGTAATCTCAGATTGTACTTTTTCTCTATTAGTGAAAACTCCATCCCCTTTCTTGCCCCGTGGACGTAGGTAATTTTCCGAACCACGTAAATCTCTTGTGTTATTTGGTGATTGTGCTTGTTTATTTGGTTGTGATCTCTCTTGTTTGGATTGTGTGTGATTCGACTGCTTCCGCGCCGCGCACAACAATTGATATTAGAGCTTCGGGTTCAACTTGAGGCTTGTTTGAAGGATTCGCTGAAGGATTCCTATTTGAAGAGTTAGATCGACAACATGGGTGAAGCAAGCACCTCAGGATCGTCTCTTACGAAGATGATACATAGTTTGAGCATCAATAACATGAAGATCGATATTCTGAAGTTTGATGGCAAGATCAATTTCGGTTTGTGGAGGTGCCAGGTGATGGATGCGTTGGACACTCAAAACTTGGAAGATACTCTTGAGTTGCAAAAGAAACATGCTGATATGGAAGAAAAGGTTTGGAAGAAGATGAATAGTAGGGCTGTGGAGTTATTCGGTCATGCTTGATGTCGGATCTCATTTATGATGTGATGAACGAGACGTCAGCGAAGAAGATGTGGGAAACACTCAATGAAAAGTACCTTACTAAGAGCATTGAGAATCAGCTTCACTTGAAGAAGAGGTTTTACCAGTTCAAGATGAAGAGGGGAGTTTCCATCAGGGAGCATGTTAACAACTTCACGAAGCTACTTTCAGACATGACCAATGTGGATATCATGGTTGAGAATGAATACAAGGCGATGCTACTTTTGTATTCGTTGTCCGAGGATGATTATGATACATTTGTTCTTACTATGATTAATGGAAGAACTACTGTTAGTTACAAGGAGGTGACCTCAACGTTGGTGAATTATGAGTTGAGGAAGAGTGTTGATGAGTTCTTCGAGAAGGCATCGGGAGATACGTTAGTAGTTCAAGGCCATGGTTCAAACCGAAGCAGGAGGTCGCAGTCTAGAGGTGCACATCGTGGGATTCATAGGAATCAGTGTGCTTTTTGTAAAGAGGATGGACATTGAAAAGCTGAATGCCCAAAGTTAGATCGAGCTGAGAAGAATAAGAGCAAAGTTGTACAAGCTTCAGAGGTGAATGTTGTTGTAGGCGTCTAAAAATGCTTATAGATATCCAAATATAGCTCAAGATAAAGAGAAGACAATGAATGTTATTATCTAAGTCAGAAAGGATCATCCAAAGCTAAAAGAAGCAAATGAACAGGTGAAACAACATAGAAGAACAATATGAATACCCACGACAAAGAACATTGACACGTATAGGCGCGACAGTGGAAGGTGACGCGCACACAAATAGAGTGGTGCGCCTATGGGAAGTTGTAGAGCTCTTCGTTAGCTTTCCAACTGTATGGAGGAAATTTGTAATAAAGAGAATGAAAGAAAATTGACTTGTATTTCTTCGATCTCGATTACAATTCGATTACAAAAGAGAGGAGAATGAATTTGATTCTTCCATTTGTTTAAAACTGGGTTCTTCTTGGTACCGATGGAATGCCTCATTCGAATGCTCGCGTCGAATTCGCTCTCCGTTGACGATTTGACCATCCTATCTCACGAAAACAATTAACTTGTGTGACAAGTTTAATTGAAAACTCTTAGCGAGTTTAAGAACTCAGAATGAGTCGGAACTCTGAAAAGAGTTGTTGAAAACTGAATAATCGATTAGTGTAATTAACTTGCGTTGCAAGTTTAATTAAGAACTCTGAACGAGTTTAAGAACTCAGAGCGAGTTGAAACTCTGTAACAGAGTTGTTAGAACCAAAAATTTGGTTAATAGCCAAGTAGATCTTCTGTTGATGAAGAATTCTCCAAGATTTGATTTACTAACTACCGAGCAGTTCCTTGATCTTCAGAAAAATCACCCTCTCCGCCCAAGAATCCAACCTTATGCGGTTTCGATCTCCAAATCTCCAACTCCTTACTCAGTTGAGTAATACAGTTATTTATAGGGGGATAAAGGGTGTACTGACCCCTAAATCCGCTCTTAAGTGGGCGAAAATCCCTCAAAACGTGGGATAAACGGTTTTGAGGCTGTTCAGCTTGTGTTTGAACAAGTCAAACGCCTAAATTAGCGTTCTGGGCCTTAACTCTGCGCCTTAGACCAAAAATTCATTATCTTTTTGTATGTGAGTGGTGTTTAGCATATTTTTTATTTATGCTTGTTCACATATTTGTCATGATCTTTTATTGCCTATATTCTATATGGCATTTTGATAGGGGGAGCAATCCCTATATCTTTCTATATTTTTATACTCACCCATGCATATTGATAGGGGGAGCCTTCGCTCTCTTCATTCTTTTTGTTTGTCCCCTTTTTTATGTTGTCAAAGGGGGAAAATATTGTGAGTATACATTTCCTTGTTTATATGCATGTGAATTATAATTTATATATTCATTTCCTTTCATGCATATATCCTTTTTGCAAATTGTTTGTCATCATCAAAAAGGGGGAGATTGTTGGTCTTCTTGTTTTGATGATGTTTAACAAACAATTTATTTCTAATATTGTTTGTCTAGTGTTTGTGTTTTCGTATTTATTCTAGGCAAACAACGAGTTGGAGGATGGATGGAATAGAGCTTCAACGATCATATCAAATGGAGGTTGGCGGAATAGTGGAGTGAAGCCTTGCAATTCAAGTTAAAGATCAAGTTCAAGCTTTATCCGTAATGTGTACCAAGTCAAGCTTAATTGAAGATCAAGATCAAAGATTGGGTAACTTAGTTTTGGTTTTATATTATGTGTGTCAAGTACCTTAAGCTCAATATCATATACACACACATATTTGGTTTCTATGTATATATATAGTTATATATATACATGCATGGTTTTGGGTTTTCATGCTTTGGACACACTTGCAAAATACATGAGTTTTCACAAATAGAAATTTAATTTGAGAAATTCTTTTTCTAACATGTTTATTTTCATGTTTATAAACATTTTATAAAGTTTCATCAAGTTTGGAATTGATTTGTTATGTTTAATGGAATTTACAAAATCATGTTTTTGTTCGTGCACATGTTCGTGCATGTTTTACAAAACAGACAAGTTTTCATAAATGGGAAGTGGTATTCAATAAATTCTTTCTTTTTCAAGTTTATCTACATGTTTAAAAAGTTCCCTCAAAATTTTACTATTTTTGAAGTTGATTTACTGTGCCCAATTGATTTTACAAAATCGTGTATGTCAGCAGTTTTTTAGAAACTGTAAATCTGTGTTCAAACATTTATTTCTCTCAACTGGGAAATGATTTTTCATAAATTCTTTCTCTAACATGTTATTTACATGTATAGAACCTTTATACAAAATTTCATAATTTTTGGAGCTGTTTTACTATTTTTAATTGATTTTACAAAGTCAGATACGCAAATTTCCAGAATGCTGGAATTTGGGGTATTTTGGTCTTTTCACCCTATAACTGCTAGTTTTTGATATTTTAGATTTTTGGGGGTTTGTGGCTGGTTTAAGAGGCTATAAAAAGCCCTCAACTTTCATTGTTTTTTATGGATGTTTAAGAGAGTTTTAAAAAGAGTTTTACAAGTTTGTTGAAGAGTTTTTAAGTTTGTTTAAGAGTTTGTTTGTGAAGAAAATTCCACAAGAGCTTGAGGAGATCATCTATTAGAGTTTGAGCAATCAACTATTCTCCCTCCATCTCTTGTTATCAATTGAAAAGTTTTCTAAACTCAAACTCTAGTTTTGCATTTATATACTTGTTTGATTATCATTGTTCTTAAGCTAGATTTTATATTTGAGTTTAGTTGATTTGATTTTATTTACTCATTGTTACACACACCCACTTGAGCTTATTGTATTTGCATACATAGTATATTAGGGTTGTGAGAGATTGTAACATTGAGTTGTGCTTAATTGAGTTCTCATCTATTGTAGAGAATAAATTTATATTTGTTACATTGTGAGTGGTGTAAGGTTTTCGGTGAGCTAGAAAACCGATTGTGAGGAGTGACGTTGATCGGTGAGCGTTGAAAACCGACACTGTGAGGTGTAAACGTTATTCGGGTGAGCGTAGAAAACCCGGTTGTGATAGTGAATTTCTCCCCGGGAGTGGGGAGCGGAGACGTAGGACGGAATGTCCGAACTCCGTGATCATATAGTGTGTTTGAGTTTGCTTTGGCGCACTTAAGCTTATGTTTATATTTCTTGTCGTCATTGTCCATAGCTCTTTATTTATATTATCCACTATCTAGTTCATGTTGTTTTTCCTTGTGTTAGTTTACATATCCTTACACATATTTCTATCATATAGGATATATCTCATTGTTCATATTGCTTATCCTAGCTTATATTCTTGTTGTATTTCATACTTGCTAGGATAACTTATTAATTAATTTTAATTGGCATAAAATCAGATTAGATTAGCATAAGACCCGGATAACTTATTAATTAATTTTAATTGGCATAAAATCAGATTAGATTAGCATAAGACCCTAATCACCCCCATTTAGGGTGTAACACTACATTGTCCTTCTTCGATGACAGGGATTGTGCACAACAACGA